CAGCAGCAGCAGCAGCAGCAGCAGCAGCGGGGGGGCCCCCCGACCCCGCGCTGCTGCTGCTGGGGGCCCCCGGCAGCCAGCGCGGCAGCGGCGAGAAGTACGGAATGCTGCTGTCGAAGGGCGGGGACTTCAGCAGCTTGCCAGCGAGCCACCCGGCGCGGCTGCATGCAGAAGCAGCAGCAGCAAAACGCAGGACCTTCCAGCTGCTGCTGCTGGGCTTTTTGCTGCTGGCTGTTTACCTGCTGTCTTACTTTTACCAGAGCTGGGGCGCGGGGGCCAAGACCCACAGGGAGCGCCACGCTGCAGCACTGAGCAGGCTGGGGGGCCCCCCGGGGGCCCCCCCGGGGGCCCCCCAGGGGGCCCCCGGGTGGGTACTGGCGTGGCGGCTGTGGCCGGGGCTGGTGCTGGGGGCCCTGCTGTCCTTTTGCTGCTGCATGCACCGCCTGGCCTTTGCCGTCAGGAAGCAGCAGTACCCTTTTCCGGAGGGCCTCGTGGCGCACTGGGAGCTGCTGCTGGGGGCCCCCCTGCTGCTGCTGCTGCTGGCGACGGGGGCCCTCACGCGCCCCGTCGCCCCCGAAGCAGCAGCAGCCTTCGCGGGGGCCCCCCGCCTGCTGCAGCTGCTGCTGGTCCACTCCGGAGCTGCTTCTCCGTACTTCTTGCTGGACGCTTTGCTGCAGGTGCCCTGGGGGCTGCTGGCGATTGGGCTTTCGCGGCTGCTGCTGCTGCTGCTGCAGCGGCTGCGCGCGGGGCCGCGCCCGCAGCCCCGCAGCAAGCAGCAGCAGCAGCAGCAGCAGCAGCAGCAGCGCGCGCGCCGCCCCGAAGAAGACGCCAGCAGCAGCTGCTGCGGCGCAGAGCCCGCGGAGCTGCAGGAGGAGGACAGCAGGCGGCAGGGCTCGTACCGGAACCGCCGGAAAAGCCGGAGAGAGCGGGGCCCCCGGGGCCCCAGGGAGGGGCCCCCGGGGGGCCCCCGCGGCCCCAGGGAGGGGCCCCCGGGGGGCCCCCGCGGCCCCAAAAAGTACCCTCCGCACGTGTCAGTGAGCACCAGCGAAGACCCCAACGGCAGCGCCAACGAGGACTTGACGACGACTCCGCAAAGCAGCTTCCGGACGCGGCGGTCTGGGCGCGAGCGGCGGCGCTCGCGGCGCCCGGCCGCGAAGCCGGCGCCCGATCCGGAGCCTTCCGCGCGCTTTTCGGGGGAACCGGCCCTCCCAAATCCCGAAATGCAACAAAATATTCAAAAAAGGAACAAATTCGACGCAGAAAGCTCCCAAAATGACCCCGATTCCGCCGCGCCACCTCCCCCCGACCACCCCCACTGACACCCCGCTGTCCGTACACCCCAGCGCCCAACCCGCCCAGCCACCGATCCGCCCCGAAACAAACCCGCTCCACTTCTTTTCGTTCCTAAATGCGTTTCTTCTTCAAAATCAAACCCAATTTCCCCGCGGCGCTCCTCGGGGGGCCCCCCGGGGGCCCCGGGGGCCCGACCCCCGGGGCCCCGGGGCCCCGGGGCCCCCGGGGGCCCCCCTTGAACTGGAATGGCAATTCTCTCTTGACTCGGAACTTCCTCCGCATGCAACTCTCAGGTCTTTTGTCTCGTATTAGTTTCTTTTGCTGCTGCTGCTGCGCCCCAATGGCTTGCTGCTGCGCAAACGCGAGCTCGGCACCCGCAGCAGCAGCAGCAGCAGCAGCAGCAGCAGCAACAGCGATTCAACTTCTGCCATTCTTAGCAGCTGCCGCCCATGTGAAGCGGCAGATAGTTGGCAGCAGCAAAATAACTAGCAGCAAAGTAATTAGCAGCAAAAGGGTTTGGAAGAACAGCAGCGAGCTGCAGCAAATTGAATTTGAACTTCTTCTTGTGCTGCTGCTCGTTTGAAGTGTTCGCCGGCCACCCGCTGCAGCCTGAGTTTTAGCAGCAGAGAGGTTTAGGGTTTAGGGTTTGGGCATTTTTAGGGTTTAAAGTTTAGCGTTTTTAGGGTTTAGGGTTTAGGGTTTAGCGTTTAGGGTTTAGGGTTGTACAGGAGGTGTACAGACTCCTGATCAGGTGACCAGCGAGGACCTTTTCTGAATGGGATTTGGACTTTGGATTATTTTAAATTAAATTAAAATTCAAATTAAATTAAAACTTGAATTAAATTCAAATTAAAATTCAAATTAAATCAAAGTTTCAGTTTAGAAGGAAATTTGATTCAGCTTCCCGTCTTGCAAATTGAACTGCAGCAGCAGCAGCAGCAGCAGCAGCAGCAGCAGCGGCGTCGATTGTCTGAAAACTGCGGAAAGCTGCGGGTTTTCTGGATTTTCTTTTTGAATTTTTGTTCATTTTAATTAATTTAATTCAATTTTTAATTTATTTTGCAGCCAAAAGACTCACAAGCAGCAGATCAGCAGCTGATGGTGCCCGGGCTGCAGCAGCAGCAGCAAATGACCTTCGCTGGCCGGCGCCGCCCCAGCAGCAGCTGCTGCATGCGCAAAAGTCAATCCTCTGCACCTTATAATGTCTTTAATCTTCTGCTTTCATTTTTTATCTTTAAATCAATTAAAAAATTAGGAAATAAAGACACTGCAGCAACGCAGGCTTCGGGGGGCCCCTGCTGCAGGCCCGCCCGCAGCAGCAGCAGCAGCAGCAGCTCAAACTTGAAATGCAACAAAATGAAGCAGCAGCTGCAGAGTCTTCCTTCATCTCAGCGCAGCCGCTGCTGCTGCAGCATTCACACACGGTAAATCTCTGCGGCGGTCCAGCAGCAGCAGCAGCAAGAACAACTACAGCAGCCGAGCAACAGCAGCAGCAGCAGCAGCAGCTTCTGTAAAGCATGCTGAGGGCTCATGATGTCAGCAGCAGCTCAAAGACTGGGAACTCTGTGGAGGCGAGGGGCCCCTAGGGGGGCCCTACACACCCCCTTGGGGCCCCTCTTGGCGCCGTCAGCTGCCGCAGCAGCAACAGCAGCAGCAGCAACAGCAGCAGCAGCAACAGCAGCAGCAGCAGCAGCTCCGCAGCAGCCATGCGGGGGCCTTTTGCTGCGGCTCCGCCCTACCCCGCTGGGCCTCACTTTCCCCAGTCTTCAGAACTTCGCAGCGCTGCTGCGCACGCAGCATTCACAGCAGCAGCAGCAGCAGCAGCAAACAGAGCTCCAGCAACAGCAGCAGCAGCAGCAGCAGCAGCAAACGAGGAAGCCTCCGTTCTCTGTGTGCATAGTTGGCGCGGGCCCCAGCGGGCTTTACTGCGCAAAGATGCTGCTGCGGCTCGCGGGGAGCCCGCAGCAGCAGCCGCTGCCGCCGCCGCCGCCGCAGCAGCAGCAGCAGCAGCAGCAGCAGCAGCAGCTGGAGATAGTGGTTGTGGACTTGCTGCCAACTCCCTTTGGCCTCGTCCGCTACGGAGTTGCTGCAGATAAACCCGAAGTCAAAGTTGTGGCCAACGAGCTGCAGGCGGTACGCAGCCCCTGGGGTGCAGCAGCAGCAGCAGCAGCTGCTGCTGCTGCTGCTGCTGCTGCGGCGGCGGCGGAGGGTTTTGTTGCACTCGTTGCGCAAGCCGATTTCGTGCTGCTTCCTCTCTGCTGCTGCTGCTGCTGCTGCTGAGCTCAGGAAGCAGCATCGATAAGGCCGTTCTTCGTGTTGTTTCACTCGCTGCTGCTGCTGCTGCTGCTGCTGCTGCTGCTGCTGCTGCTGCTGCTGCCTGCAGATTCTCCAGTTCCCAGGCGTCAGCTTCCGAGGAAATGTCCGCCTGGTCAGTTTGGGGCTTTCCGCTTGAGACTGCATGCGCGCAGTTGCTGCTGCTGCTGCCGCGCTGCTGCTGCTGTTTTGCTGCTGCTGCTGCTGCTGTTGTGCTGCTGCTGCCGCGGTGCTGCTGCTGTGATGCTGTTCACCGCTCCTACTTGCTGCTGCTGCTGCTGTTTGCCGCTGCTGGTTGCCGCTTGCTGGTGCTGCTGCTGCTGTTGCTACTTACTGCTGCTGCTTTCTGCTGCTGCTGCTGCTGCTGCTACTCACTGCTGCTGCTGCTGCTGCTGCTGCTGCAGGGTTGGGACGTGTCTTTGGATGAACTGCGGCAGCTCTTTGATGCTGTTGTTTTGGCCATGGGACCTTCAAGTAAATTTAATTTTAAAAGTTTATTTATTTATTTATTTTATTTATTGGTCTGCTTTTTTATTTTACTTATTATTTGTTTATTTATTTATTCATTTATTCATTTATTTATTTAATTTATTTATTTTATTTATTTATTTATTTATCCATTAATTATTTGTCTCAAGTATCTTAACTAATTAAATGTTTCGTTGTTCATTTTATTTATAACAATGAAGTGTTTAAATAATTTAAATTAATTAAATCTTTTAATTAATTATTGAAATTAATTAAAAGATTATTTGACTAGCTGTTTAATTTAATTATTTTAAATACTCCGATTAATTCATTATTTGATTAAACTAATTTAATTATTTAAATTAATTAAAGTTTTATTCAAAAATAAATTGAAATGTTTAAATTAATTTAAATGATAAAATCAAATATTAAATGTATAAGCAAATTGGTTAAAATGACATAACATTTTAAATGGCAAAATTAATAAAATAATAAAAAAAATAAACAAAATAATAGAATAACAAATAAAATAACAAATAAAATAAATAATAAAACAAATAAAATAATATTTAAAATAAATAAAATAACAAAACAAGTAAGATACATAAATAAATGAAATAAGTAGAATAGTAAATAAAATAACATTTATAGTAAATAAATAAAATAACATTTAAAGTAAATAAATAAAATAAATAAATAATAAATAAAATAAAACAAATAAAATGAAAAATAAAAACAGTAAAATAAATAAAATAGAACAAATAACACAATTAATAAAATAAATAAATAAATTAAATAATGAAATAAATAAATAAATAAATAAATAAATAAATAATGAAATAAATAAATAAAATAATAAAAGTGTTTTTTGTGCAGAAGGAAAAGAGGTGGAGGTGGAGGGCTCTTCCCTTTCAGGTGTATGTACAGCTCAGGAGTTTGTGTTTTGGTTTAATTCCCATCCAGCAGCAAATCACTTTTTAAACAAATTGCCAAAGTCCTCCAACTCTGCTGCTGTTGTTGTGGGGTCAGCTGCTGCTGCTGCTGCTGCTGCTGCTGCTGCTGCAGTTGGTGGGGCTGCGGGTGCTGTGCTGCTGCTGATTCTGCTGCTGCTGCAGCTTGTTGTGCTTCTGCTGCTGCTGCTGCTGTTGGGCTGTGCTGCTGCTGTTGATGCTGCTGCTGCTGCTGCTTCGGTTGCGTACCATGCAGCTGTTGGTGCTGCTGCTGCAGCTGCTGTTGCTGCTGCTGCTGCAGCTCACGCTGCTGCTTCTATTTGTTCCTCCTGTGTCTCTTTTGCCTCTTCTTTTAATTGACCAAATTAATTCTTCTATTTTTTAAATTATTTTTAATTTAATTTAATTTAATTAAATTAATTTTAATTTTAATTTTAATTATTTCTTTTTCTTCTGCAGCAACGGAAATGTCGCCCTCGATGTCGCCAGGCTGCTGCTGAAGGCCTCACACCAGAAACCGCCAGCAGCAGCAGCAGCAGCAGCAGCAGCAGGAGAACCAGCAGCAGCAGCAGCAGCAGCAGAGGCACCTGAAGAACCCTCAGCAGCAGCGCCCACAGCACCACCCGCAGCAGCAGCAGAAGCAGCAGCGGCACCTGCAGCAGCAACCCGCGCAGCAGCAGCAGCAGCAGCAGCAGCAGCAGGTCATTCTGCGGTGCCTGTGCATGCAACAGATATAAATGCTGCTGCATGCGTTTGGTGCTGCAGCAGCAGCTTTTTAAAAGTTTTTGTAATTGGCAGAAAAGGCCCTTTGGAAGCAAAGTTTGCCGCTAAAGAACTCCGAGCTGTTCGTTTTATTTATTTATTTATTTATTATTTATTTCTTTATTATTTCTTTATTTCTTTATTATTTATTATCTATTTATTATTTAATATTTATTATTTCTTTTTTATTTATTTATTTATTTATTTATTTTGTTTTATTTTATTTCGTTTTATTTGTATTACTTCATTTGGTTTGTGTGTTCATTTGTCTTGTTTTATTTTATTTTGTTTTATTATTTGTTTTATTGTGTTTTGTTTTGTTTATTTGTTTCATTTTATTTATGTATTTGTTTGTTTCAATTTATTTTTATTCTGTTTCTCTTTTATTTATTTGTCTTAATTCAATTTAATTTGTTTTGTTTATTTTATTTATCTTTTATTTATATATTTAATTTAATTTAATTTAATTTAATTTAATTTAATTCATTTATTTATTTTGATTGTCTCTTTTTTGTTCACTTAAATTCTCTTTTTTGTTAGTTTAATTCTTTCCTTTTATTTATTTTGATTCTTTTTTCATTTCTTTTTAATTCTCTTTATTTCTTTTTGTTTCTTTTATTTCCTATTTCTTTTTTATTTTTTATTTTCTCTTTTTCTTATTTTGTTTCTCTCATTTGCACTTTGTTTTCTTTTATTTCATTTTTTGGCAAATCCTATTTGCTGTTTTTTGTTTTTGCCTTTGTTATCTTTTTTCTTACATTCTGGTGCTGCTGCTGCTGCTGCTGCTGCTGTTGCTGCTGTTGTTGCTGCTGTTTGTAATGTCGCTGCTGCTGCGGCTGCTGCTGCTGCTGTCGATGCTGCTGCTAATACTACTGCTGCTGCGATTCTGCTGCTGCTGCTGCTGCTCCGACTGTTGCTCATGCTGCTGCTGCTGTGCTGCTGCTGCTGCTGTGCTGCTGCTGCTGCAGCTGCTGCGGGAGCCCTCGCTGCTGGCAGTGGTGGATCCGCAGCAGTTGGAAAAGGCTTTAGTTGAATCAGAAGCAGCAGCAGCAACAGTACGAACAGCAGCAGCAGCAACAGCAGCAGCAGCAGCAGCACCAGAAGCAGCAGCAGCAGAATGTTTCAGCAAAATTACAAAAAGACAAAAGAGTTAAAAGCCCTTCTCATTCTTTCCAGTTTTGCTGCCCACAGCTCATTTCTTTTCAAATTAAAATAAGTAATTATTTATATTTATTTATTTATTTATTCTTATTTTATTTATTTATTTTATTTATTTTATTCATTTATTTATGTTATTTATTTATTTATTTATTTTATTTATTTATTTTGCTGCAGCGAGACAGAACGAAAGAGAAGCTTTTCCGTCTTTTTTCAAAAATGGCTGAAAACGTAAATTATAAATAAATAAATAAATAAAATAAATAAATAAAAAATAAATAGAAAATAAATAAATAATAGAAATAAATAAATAAATAAATGCAAATAAATAAATAAATAGAAATAAATAAATAAATAAATAGAATTAAATAATAAAAAGCAATTAAATAAATAGAAATTAAATAATAAATAATTAGGAATAAGTAAATAAATAAATAAACAAATAATAAATAGATGAATAAATAAATAAACAAATAAAATTAATTAAAAACGAAATGGTAAAAAGAAAGAAAGGACTTCGTGTCTTTTTTGTTTCTTGAGCCGGCGTGTTCTTGAGCCAGCGAACTGCAAAACCCTAAACCCTAAACCCTAAACCCTAAACCCGAGAGCTGGGGCAAAACCCCTAATCTGTGCACAATATATATATATATATAAACAAAAAAATATAATATTAATGTATAAATATACATATAAATCTAAATATAAATATAAACATAAATATAAATATATAAATATGAATATAAATATAAGTATAAATATAAACATAAATTTATAAATATAATTAATTGAAGATCTTTTAGGAAAAAGTTGCTTAAAATGAACTTTTGCTGCTGTATGCATGCGCTGCAAAATAAATGCCGGAGTCCTGAGTGAACTTAAATTAACTTAATAATTAAAAAAGCTGCTGCTGCTGCTGCTGCTGCTGCTGCTGCTGCTTGCAGTGGAGCCGTCGATACACCTCAGGGCTGCCGGTGCTGCAGTTTTGTTTTAATCTTTCTCCCATTTCTATTCTTCCTTCAAAGACAGGTGCGGCATTAGAAGCAATTTAAACCTCAGCAGCAGCAGCAGCAGGAGCAGCATTAGCGGCAGCAGCAGCAGCGCGTCTGCGGTGTACGTACACCCCAGCAACATGCCTGTACACCTCGCGCTGCATGCAGACCCAAACAGCGTCGGCTCTGTCCTTTTCAAAAGAAATAAACTTGTGGGGCCCCACAAAGTCCAACAAGCCACCTCGCAGCAGCAGCAGCAGCAGCAACAGCAACAGCAGCGACAGCAACAGCAGCAGCAGCAAGAGGGGTTTGTTGAGCTGCCGGCGTCGCTGCTGGTGTGGAGCGTCGGATTTGAAGTGGAAGCACTTAAAAGACTAGTCTCTGTGCCCGGCTCAGCAGCAGCAGCAGCAGACACAGCAGCAGCAGCAGCAGCAGCAGCAGCAGGCACAGGAGCAGCAGCAGCTGGCAGCCTCTCGCTGCTGCGCACCGACGCCCAGGGTCTGCTGCTGCACACAAACGGCCGCGTGTTGCCCCCCCAGCAGTTAGCAGCACCCCCAGCAGCAGCAGCAGCTCCAGCAGCAGCAGCAGCAGCAGCAGCAGCAGCAAGACTGGGTGGGGTTTACGTCAGCGGGTGGTTTAAACATGGCCCCAGAGGCACTATTGCTGAAGCTCTAATTGACGCCAAACAAACGGCGCAGCAAATAGCAGCAGACCTCAACTGCCTGCAGCAGCAGCAGCAGCAGCAGCAGCAGCAACAGCAGCAGCAGGTGGGGCTGGGGGCTTTGGACAGTTTGTTGCATGCGCGGGGCGTGTCTTTTGTGTCTCTTGAGGGTTTTTTGGAAATTAAAAAAGAAGAAGCAAAAAGAGGAAAGGAAGAAAAAAGAGCAGCAAGCAAAATACAAACCCTAGAAGAGATGATTGCCATCGCCAGACGTGCCAAACCCTAAACCCTAAACCCTAAACCCTCGGCACTGCCGCGCAGACCGCACTCGCGAGGCGCGCACGCGGACCGCGCTGCTGCTGCTGCTGCTGCTGCAGCAAACAGCAGCAAGTTTCGCTGATGCTGTTGCTGCCGTAACAGCAGCAGCCGCAGCAACAGCAGCAGCAGCAAGGCGCAGCAGCAGCAGCAGCAGCTTTTCGTTTCCTTTGTTGCCTTGAGGCTCCAAGACAGATTTACTATTAATATTATTTAAATTCGAATTATTTAAATTGTTTAAATGCAATTAAATAAGTGCAACTAAATAAAATTAAATGAAATTAACTAAATGCAATTAAGTAAATAAAAGTGAAGATTGAAGAAAAAGAAAAACAATTTTAAATGCCTTTATTTGTGGTGTACATACACTCGAGGAACAAACAAAAAAATGAGACAAATTAAAAGAAGAGATAACAAATAAAGGAAATAAATAAAACAAATAAAAATAAATAAGAATAAATAAATAAAAGTAAGTGAATAAACATAAATAAAAATAAATAACTAAAAATAAATAAATACAAATAAGTGAATAAAAACAAATAAAAATAAATAATAAAAATATTTAAATAAAACAAATAAAGAAGAAGAAAAGAATTGAGAAGCAACTTCTGGTCTCGAGGGTTTTCCAAAAAAGGCGAAAACGCCATCTCCCCCAAACCCTAAACCCTAAATCCTAAACCCTAAACCCTCGTTTAGCCCCTCATGACGCTGTAGGCCTCCAGAGGGACTCTGAAGAAGCCGGAGCAAATGCCTGCAGCAACAAAAGCAAAAAGGGGACAAAAATAAGTTAAATTAAAATAAATTAAATTTAAAATTAAATTAAAATTAAAATAAATTAAAGTAAAAAATAAACCCCAATGAGGTCTTCTAGACCGCGGGGTGTATCTACAGCTCCCTGGGGTGTATAGGCAGCTTTGGAGTGTATGCGCAGCTCTCAAGGAGGTTTAGGGTTTATAACAGGGTTTAGGGTTTAGTTGCTAGGTTTTAGAGTTTACAAAAGGGTTTAGGGTTTAGCTGCTAGGGTTTAGGGCTTAGCTGCTAGGGTTTAGGGTTTACAGTACGGTCTAGGGTTAAGTTGCTAGGGTTTAGGG